CTATGTTTCATTTATGTTTTCGGGTGCGAAATCTCGAAAGCAGGTTTGTTTTATCCTCTAGAATTCCGCTGAACTTTTAGAATCTTCTTTACAGAGTAAAAAAGGTTTACCATATATTACCTAATCGCTCTAGCATTCGGATTAGCATTGTATGCGTGCTTATCGTCTCGCTTGTTATAATTATGTTGTTCCTTCCAATTGCACTTGTTTTTAGTGCATAATCGTGTCTACTGAGTGGTGATTGTAGATGTAGGTATTCAGTTTTCATTGTTAGCAAATATCTGTAGTTTTTTTTGTCGCATATCGGCGCGACAAAATTCTTGAATTATTTTTGTGAGTACATGTATGACATACTGGTAGGACATACTCATCGTTTTTTTGTTGCTTGTATAAATGTTACTGTAGGTGTCAATGAAGACGGAGAATGGTCAAACAGTAATGGTCCCACTCTTTCACAATCACGAAAACATATATGGGAAGGTATTTTGCTGTGGTGTTATTAACATTGCCATTACCAATTTAGGTTCAAAGCTATTTCAGATTCGATTATCTAATCATGGTGATACCTTGCCATGTCATGTTTTCAGCATGTTTTCAGATTTCTGTTAAACCAGTTTCAGGGAAGAAAGTAGAGCACAATGGAATCAAAGTTGAGCTGCTTGGTCAGATAGGTGTGCTATCTTTGTTTCTATTGATTTAAATTCCCAACATGCAATGGTTGCTCACTTCGGTAGTTCTTCTGTGTATGCTTTGTACTGATATAATTTATTTATATTATTGCAAAACAGGTGTTTTGATTAGGCTAACATAGACTTACATCTGACTATCCTATTGAAAGCACTAATCTTTGAAAGACTTGCGATAATTTCCAAGGTAAATCATTCCATTGATTTGTGGATGAACTTTTGTTGTCAATGAAGTAATTCAAAAAAATTGTGCTTCTGTAATCTTTTTTTCCTTCTTCTTTACGGAATTACCGAATGTCGTCGAGTTGCTTCCCTTTTTTCTTTTCTCGCTCTTTTTTTCCTCTCTTTATGTTCGCGAAGCCGTTTCTTATGATCTTTTTCTGTGTAAATGACACTCTTTTATAAAGATCAATGTTAATTTAAGACATGGGGGTTGTAGACTCAATCCTATCGAGAGAGCTTAGACCACTAGAAGAGCGATATGCTGTGAGCCTCTTCTTTGGTTTACCATTTGAAAATTTTAATGCAGTTTGGGACGAGATATTCACGTAATGCAGTTTGATATGCTCAAACTCGGTTACGGTCGTGTTTCTTCGATATGAACTGAGCCCTTTGATCAATGTTTTAGTTATAGATTTTTTATTTTCTATCGTAGATATGTGAAGACATTATTTTGTTATTTTTCATTCAACTATGTCGGGTTATTGTTTCCAATAGATGTTTTATTTGTCATTTATTGTTGTTCCACGGGTTATGTACAGTTTTGTACGGTGGTACGGCAGTAAGGGTGACTTATCTGTAGAGTTGTGACAGTATGATTAACATTTGTATTTGAAATTACTGCTTATATACCTAAAGCATATTTGGTATTGACCGTAATTTACAAGAACATTCTTCAGTCTTAGTACTTGGTTAAGGAAACATCAGTTATCGAAATTCCTTTTGCTGAAGTCGATGCAATCATCAAGAAATTGCATAATCTAGCATGGAACGTTCCTGTTAATCAGCACCGCCCATCCGAGCACCGGCACCGCGCCTTGCGCGGTGCTCCTCACTAGTATATATATATATCTTCAGTTTCCAAACCCAATTTCTCACACTTCCATTCTCACAGAGAACTTCTCTCTCTCTCATCTCTCTCTCTCTCTCTCTCTCTCTCTCTCTCTCTCTCTAACAATGGCTTCAACATCAGTGGTCAAGCTGCTCCTCCTCATAGCACTTATTGCCACCTCGTGCATGGCGCAAGCCCCGTCAGGTGCACCAACACTCTCTCCCACCGCCACACCGGTGGCGGCGCCGCCCATCCAAACGCCATCTCCTTCCCCAGGACCGGCAGTCGCATCCCCCACCGGCGGAGGAGAGGCAACCCCCTCCCCCGTACCAAGCGCTGCGTCGCCAAACTCGCCTTCCCCCGCCGCCGTTACGCCCGGTCCCGCCGCTGATCAGACCCCAGCTGGCGACGGTTCTAATGACGGTTACGTGAGCAGGGCTGCGGTCGGCGGCACCGCTCTCGCGGCAGCTCTTGTCGCGGTGGCCATGTTGTAGTTTATCCACGTGGATACTTAATCATGCGATGTACATCTTTTTATTAATTTATTATATATTAATATATATCGGCGGATGAGTTTTGGTTATTTTTGTCCCTTTCTTGGGGGCTCAATAGTCATTTCTCATTTTCCCTTTATTATTTCTTTTTTCTTTAATGGATATATTTGTTTGGGTTTGTTTGTTTATATATTTTTTTTATATATATATAATAATTAATCTAGACTAGATCATTTGTTTGGTGATTACTATTACTATGTGTATGATTGAGTTGAATGAAGATCAAAGTGGTACAATCATTCTTAGTGAAACCTCTCATTAATTTCGACAACCTCCATCTATTATTACGTGTCAATCACGCAAATATATAGTTTTGGCTGAACTTATAAGTTGTTATTATAAGTTGTTAGAAATGACTTATAAGATGTTTTAAGAGCTTATAAGCTCTTTCAAAATATTTGATAAAAAAAATCAAAAAATAAATTACTGGAAATTGTTTTAAAATTTTTTTTTTAAAAGAAGCTGAAACCTACATTTTTTTAAAATCTTATAATGCGTAAAAATAGCTTATAAGCTTATTATTCAACACTTTAAAAATTAATCTAAAAAATTAGACGTAATAATTTATCAGTTTTTTAAACAACTTATCATACCGAAGAGCTTATGAGCTGCTCAAAAGAAAAGAAAAAAGAAAAAAAAAGAAAAAGAAAAAGAGTAATATGCAAGTAAATATGACCACATAGATATATATGCATATGACAAATATGCATGCGTAATTGCTTACGTACGCAAGGTTGGGTCAAACATTCTTCCAATGCGACGTCGTCTAAGGTTCTAATTTTGACTAAAATATTTGTTATTTTTCCTCAATTTGATCAAACATAAAACATTTTAGAGGACAATACAACCATATTAATTTAATTAATAATCAACCGGTGTCTAGTTTTTAAATCAATAAAGTTTCATGTATAAATGGTTTGATTAGCAACCAGACGAAAGTATGGTTCAAAACTTGATTCGTTATGTTAAGGAATCGAACATAAATAATTTATTAGCGATCGATCTCGAATTGGGTATCGATAGTTGAATAGTTAGATTTAGTTTTAATCTATGTAGCATGGAAACTACGTACAACTTGTTAACGTATTGGTGTTTGAACAATAGATTAAAACTAAATCTAGACACCTTATGGCTGATTTGCAATTTTTGAAAAATTAGAAACATATTCGAATAGCCAATTTTTTGTTGTTTCGGTAATTATTTATATGATTTAATGATCAAATTGCTAATTATATATGGTTATATAGCATTTTTTAGGTACACCACCTATAGTTTTAATATTTACACGTTTTTTTATATATGGTAATAAAATAAATTTAAAGAAAGACCATTTCTTGAGGCCAGTATCTAATATTACTTGGAATATTTATAAATGAGAAAAATAGAGTAAAAAATTGAGAGGGTGGCTAAAAGTTGTCCACATTCATGCAATTTCTGACAGGCAATTTCCCAATCGCTGAAGAAGCTCTTGGCATCTGCAGGCTGCCATTAATATTAATTGTGAAATTTTCTTATTAAAAAAAACAAAAAACACACCAAAAATGTGAAATTTCGACCCTAGAAAAATAAAAAATAAAAAAATAAAATATTAATTGTGAACTTTATAATCACATGCGTCGTCATCGATATTTATTGTCCTCCCAATCATCCCAAACATATCGGACCGACGATTGAACTGCAACCTATTCGTTGATTAGATCCAGGAACATGAAAAGATTGGAAAGTACAAAAAAAACGAGTGAAGTAGTAAGAATCAGGTCGAACTAGGTAAAAAAAATAGATTGAACCGGGTTTAAAATCGAATTTAACCTAACAAAATCGATTTTTCGTGTTTTTACATTTTAGTATGTTTAATAATTTCATTGTCTTCATCTTGAATATTATTGTGGTTGATTTTATAAATTAAATTGGAGCATTTAAATTGATATACAATAATGGACAATTTCTTTTGAATGAATTTTACTAAAAACATAAATCACTTCAAAATTATTAATAAATAATCATATTAAGAATTCCTAATAGCCCTTAGTGGGTCCCACTTTTTTCGTTGCATGCACCCTTCGTTTTCTATAAATACAAACAGTTATCTCCAACATCAGATGCTCCCGCTGCCCCCTGTAAACCCTTTGGAGCCGTTTCTAGAGAGAGAAACTGAGGAGAGAGAGAGAGATGTCAAGCAGAAGCGATGAAAATGAAGTAACCACAACATTAACAGCACCTCTGTTAGGGTTAGACGACTACACAAACTCTTCAACAGACGCAGAGCCAATTATAATCAAGCACGTGGAAGATGATAATAATGAAAATCGAAGCCTCTCCAACCGGGTTTGGGTCGAGACGAAGAAGCTGTGGCGGGTCGTGGGACCCGCCATCTTCAGCCGGATCGCTTCGTACTCCATGTTCGTCATCACACAGGCCTTCGCCGGCCACCTCGGCGACCTCGAGCTCGCCGCCATGTCAATCGCCACCTCCGTTATCATGGGCTTCGATTTCGGCCTCATGGTAAAATTAATTTTATTTTTGAATTTCGATTTCGATTTCGATTTTGATTTTGATTTTGATTTTGATTTGTCAGTTGGGAATGGCGAGTGCGTTGGAGACGCTGTGCGGGCAGGCGTACGGCGCGAAGAAGTATCACATGCTGGGGGTTTACCTGCAGCGCTCGTGGCTGGTACTCTCTCTGTGCTGCGTGGTGACGCTGCCGGTGCTGCTCTTCGCCGGACCGATTCTGAAGGCGCTGGGGCAGCCGGCGGACGTGGCGGAGATGTCTGGTGTGGTGGCGCTGTGCTTCGTGCCGCTCCACTTCAGCTTCGCGATTCAGTTCCCGATTCAGAGGTTTCTGCAGAGCCAGCTGAAGAACAGCGTGATTGCTTGGATGAATTTGGGGGCGCTTGGGGTGCACGTGCTGCTGAGCTGGCTTGTTGTTTACAGGCTGCGACTGGGGGTTATTGGTACCGCCCTCACTCTGAATATCTCGTGGTGGGTGGTGGTTTTGGGGCTGTTCTTATACACCGTCTGCGGCGGTTGCCCGCTGACGTGGACTGGCTTCTCCACCGAGGCGTTCTCCGGTTTGTGGGAGTTTCTCAAGCTTTCTGCTTCTTCTGGTGTCATGCTGTGGTACTCTCTCTCTCTCTCTCTCTCTCTCTCTCTCTCACACACACTCTCTCTCTCTCACTCACACACACACTTTTCAAATATTCCAATAATAAATTAATAATTAATCTAAACTCAAAAGACTTGACGAACAGTTATATATACTAACCTTAATGTTAGTCCCTTAATGTTAGTCCAATTTCAAAATTATAATTGAATTTGTATAAAATTGGATTTACTTTTAATGAAATTATATAATTTGTGAAATCAAATCCTTATTTTTTTCTACAAATTTAAAATATATATATATATATATATATATATATATATATATATATATATATATATATATATATATATATATATATATATATACCACGTTGATTGTACTTGCTAATAAAGGTAGGGAGCAATCATATTTAATTTCAATAAGTAAATCTAACTACCAATAAGAGTCAGGGTTGTATCGGTCATGTCTCGAACCGTCGCGCTCATACAAGGGTCGGAGCATTCATGGCTCGATGTATATATGTACCAAACTACGTACCTGGAACTAATTACAATTCCGAACCAAATTTTGGTTCGCTATAATTCAATACAAATATAATTTTACGTACCAAATGAATCGAACCCTCCTATACAACTAATTAGTTTGAATTAATTAAGTAATTTCTTTTTTTAGAAAAATATGACTCTAATTTTCATACTTTTTTTTTAATTGTGACCAGCTTGGAGAATTGGTACTACAGAATTCTTATAGTGATGACCGGAAATCTGAGCAACGCCGAAATCGCAGTCGATGCTTTGTCCGTTTGGTATGCAAATTTAAGTCTTCATTTTCAGTCATTTTAAATAACTTTTTTTTTCGTCTTTCCATTTTGCATCGATTGGTCCCTCGTAAATTTTCTATCTTGTCTTGAACTAAAAGTCGTGTTTATAATACGCACGCAAATATGGCTTTTTTTTTTTTTTTTTAATCTACCTTCTATAACATGCATTTTTTCTACATATTTTATTTGTTTGTTTAATGTAATTTAACCAAGTTGAGATTTGATTTGACAAACGCATCTTGAATCGAGTATCTAGCAGTTTGTTTTAATTTTCGTCACTAGAAAACAAAGTCACGATTTTAATATGAATTTGTGTCATTTCATGTGACGTGGCATTTCTATATATGTATGGAATTTTCTTTGTGTGTGTGGCAATAAATTCTTATCATTACATTACAACATTACACGACGGTCATTTTCATTGTTTTGCTATCGGAATTCTCTTCTTCTTCTTTATGGACATTTTCTTTTTGTAAATATATATTTTAATAAAATAAAATAAAATAATATTGTGTTTTAACTTTATCTATTTGGTGCTTTGTGTATAAATGCAGCATGAGCATCAACGGTTGGGAAATGATGATTCCTCTTGCATTTTTCGCTGGAACTGGGTAAATATAATATAGTATAATATAATATATCGCTTATTATTTATTTATTTATTTTGTTATTTTATACTTGTGATATAGTAATATATTCTTTTTATCGTTATTAGTGCACAAAGTCGAAATTGGGAAAGAGTAGACTACGTAAAAATCGTCGAGAAAATTTACAATAAATTTGGGGTAATTAGATACCACACGTGAATTCATGTATTAAAAGAATTTGTGAAATATTGAGGGGCCATGGCCCCCGGGCCTATGCTGGTGACAACTGACAATCATATAGATGGTCCTTAGTTTACTATACAGATGTCGATAGTTGATGCATGCAAAATTGAGGTCCACACAAATGGATTTTTGAAGTTTTTGTTTTCTTTTTTGAGAGGGCATGTATATATATATGAAGTTAATATGTATGTATATGTGTATGAGTATAAGTTTGAAGGGTAATTTGGTAATAATGTTGTGGTTGCATGTACGACGAAAACGAAAAGAGTGAGGGTGGCGAATGAACTTGGAGCAGGGAATGCAAAAGGAGCAAAGTTTGCAACAATAGTATCTGTGATTGAATCAGTGATAGTGGGATTAGTATTTTGGGTACTAATAATGCTATTTCACAATGAATTAGCCCTAATTTACACAACAAGTGAAGTTGTTCTAGAAGCAGTTAGCCACCTCTCTCTTCTCTTGGCTTTCACTATTCTCCTCAACAGTGTTCAACCTATTCTCTCAGGTACTTCATTACTTTTTCATTCACACACACACACACATGTATATATATATATATATATATATATATATATATATATATATATATATATATATATATATTTCTGATTACATATTACCACCTAGCTTTTGATTAAGACGGTCACTCAACATCTATGAAATGAGGTGTGAATTGCACCGATCAAAATTAGCATTTTCAGAAGAGATTTTTTTTTTTGGAGTGAAGAAATTATTTCCAATTCCTTTCCACACATTCAAAAAGATAGGAAAATCAGATTTTCGAAAATGTAAATGAAGAGAGAGATGTTCTGAAATCAGAAATTTTTCGGATCAACATGGTCAGAATACATATAAGAAAAAAACACACATAATATATAGGAAGAATAGAATAGGAAAAAGAGAGAAATAATAATACGTAATATAAACCCCCATTGTGTTATGGATTGATTTACATGGAATATATAGAGAAATAATACGAGTAATAGAGTTTACTAGGTAACTAGATCTAACTAATCTAGATAACTGAATCATAATAAAATCCTAATATTCTATAATATCTAATAATATAATATACTCTAACAAAATAGTATTCATATTCATAAGTGTATTTTTTGGGAAAGAAGCATTGGGATTTTCAGAAATATTTTCGAAAATTAAAATTGGATCAAAAATCGGAATCTAAAATATAATCCAATTCCGTTGCAAATAACCATAAATCACAATGAAATTTTGTGTTCCATAATGGGAAACATTCAGATCGCAATGGGCGAAATCCCGAAAATTTTGTTTCAACTTCAACCTCATGTGAGAAATATCGGCCTTATATACTCCTATACTGACTCCGCCACTGAACTTAAGATTTTCTATATTCTTATATTTTCTCCCCACTAATAAGTTTTATAAGTGAATTCATTTTGATCAAAATAAATAAGTAAATTTGTATAATTGTGAAAATTATTAATCTGTTTTATTTTTATTTTTATTTTATTTTTAATTTTTTTTTAAGGTGTGGCTGTTGGTTCGGGATGGCAGTCATACGTGGCATACATAAACCTTGGTTGCTACTATTTAGTTGGACTCCCACTTGGAATTCTCATGGGATGGGTTTTCGATCAAGGAGTTATGGTACGATTTTTTATTTTTTTTTCTTTTTTTTTTATTTTAAATTTTTGATTTTATATTTATTTGAATTATTTTTTGAGATTTAATAAATTTCATTCATATATCACTACCCCATTAATTAATTGACAAAATATTTTAAATTTCAGGGTATTTGGGCTGGTATGATATTTGGGGGAACTGCATTTCAGACAGCCATTCTGGCCGTTATCACAATTCGATGCGACTGGGAAAAAGAGGTAAGAATCGACAAAGTATCAAAATTTTGTTACAATTTTCATAGTAGCCGCCAACAATCTCATCTGATACACATCGTGTTTATTAAAATGCAGGCGGCGAAGGCAACTACGCACGTAAAAAAGTGGTCGGAATCGACAAATAATGCTGCATGAACAAATTGAACGGATAGAATTGATGATCTTTTTCTTGCTCGGAAAGTTGGTAGAGTTTCAACATTTTTTGTTGATGAATTAGTTGGGAATAACTTCGATATTATATTCGACAAAAATATAACGTTGCATGATGAAAATAAAGTTTCAACTGTACTTTATTTTCCTGGTATTTTAGTATATGATCCATAAGGTTATGTAACAAGGAAATTGAAGACTATAATATATGGTTTTTCCAGTAGTTTGTAAAGTGCAATTTAATCTGTCCAAAACATACATATTAAATTATATTTAAGCCTATGTATATATACATATATGTTAATGATCTATTATTTTTTAATTACACTCATCAATATATATGTATTTACTTTGTACATTGGTACTCCGGCTACGCTGCCTCCGGAGACGAACGGGGTTGGCTCGGGTGTCCGAGTTCAGCTTGGATTGGAAAGTGCGACCGAGTTGGTCCGAGTTGGATTAATTGGAAAATATGATTAATATTAAACATATTTTCATTTTTTAAATTATAATTCAAGTTTATTCCACACCAGATGCTCCCGCTGCCCCTGTAAACACTCTGGAGCCGTTTCTAGAGAGAGAGAAACAGAGGAGAGAGAAACAAATTAGAGAGATGTCAAGCAGAAGCTATCAAAATGAAGAAACCCTAACAACTCCCCTGTTAGACTACACTTGCTCTTTATTGAGATATGAGAGAGAAAGTGAAACATAGAAAGTAAAGAGGAATTGATTCACAATTGTTTTCATTGATTTCAAGGTTCACTGTACAATATCATATATAGAGAGGAAAATAAATTAAATTGTTTTTCAAAATTACAGCTCAACCATTTAGGAAGGAACACCTGTCTTATTCTAGATTATTCTTCAGATGATTTGTTTCGTGCTCTCCAAGTGTGTAAGAGGAATTATCTCCTGTGTGAGGTGTATGGTTAACATGCCCCCTCGAGCCAAGCGGGGAAAAGACAACAGCGAGGCTCGTCCGAAGAAGAGTGAACCTCGGAGTTGATAACGGTTTTGTAAGGATGTCCGCAAGCTGATCTTTGCTAGAAAGAAATGAGACGTGCAATGCCTTGGCTTGAACCCGTTCACGAACAAAGTGAAAATCCATTTCGACATGTTTAGTGCGAGAATGAAAAACTGGATTCTTGGACAGGTAAGTTGCACCGAGATTATCACAGAATAACGTTGGAGGAGATGAAGAGCTGATGCCCAATTCTGTCAATAGTGATTGTAGCCAGAGTAACTCACAAGTTGCAAAGGCAAGGGCTTTATATTCGGCTTCGGTACTCGAACGAGCAATGGTGGCCTGTTTCTTTGAACTCCAAGTTATGAGATTTCCACCAAAGAAGATGCAAAACCCTCCTGTAGATTTACGATCATCAAGACAACCAGCCCAATCGGCATCGGTGAAGGCTGTTAATGTATTAGTTTGTGACGGTCGAAGAAGTAATCCATGATCCAGAGTATGTTTCAAGTAACGAAGAATCCTTTTGACGGCTGTCCAATGAGAAATGCACGGAGCATGCATGTATTGACAAACTTTGTTGACCGAAAAGGCTAGATCGGGTCGAGTGAATAAGAGATATTGTAAGCTGCCAACAACACTCCGATATAAAGTAGGATCCTCGAAAGAACATGAATCAAAGGCGGACAATTTGGTGGATGCAGCCATGGGGTTGGTTACAGGATTACACGTCAACATATTCGTTTTGCGTAGTAAATCGAGGATGTACTTTCTTTGAGAGATAAAAAGACCAGACGTAGTACGAGAGCATTCCAAACCCAAGAAATAATGGAGGCCACCTAAATTTTTAACAGGGAAATCGCGTTCGAGATAAGCGATCAAAGTGGAAATAACAGCAGAAGATGAGCCAGTGACGACGATATCATCAACATAGACGAGAAAATAAATAATCACAGAGCCTTGTCGATAGATAAATAAAGATGCATCAGATTTGGAAGCAATAAACCCCAACTCAAGTAATCTGGAACTCAAACGTGCAAACCAAGCACGAGGCGCCTGCTTCAGTCCGTATAAAGCTTTGTTTAATTTACAAACATGGTGGGGATAATCGGGGTGAACGAAACCAGGTGGTTGAACCATAAACACCGATTCTTCCAAAGACCCATGTAAAAATGCATTTTGGATATCCAACTGTGTGATAGACCAATTGAATGATGTAGCAATAGATAGAACTAACCGAATAGATGTTGGCTTGACAACGGGGCTAAAAGTTTCAGAATAATCCAATCCTTCTTGTTGATTGTACCCCTTGGCCACCAAACGGGCCTTTCGTCTCTCAATGGAACCATCAGCGAGATATTTTGTTTTGAAGATCCAACGACAACCAACTATATTTTGCTCTGGTGATGATGGCACTAGCGTCCATGTTTGGGTTTGCATAAGAGCATCAAACTCCTTTTGCATAGCCAAACGCCATTCTGGGTATTTTGAAGCTTGTGTGACCGTCGTAGGTTCATCTGGTACGGATGATGATGATTGAGTGATGAGGGCATGAGGCCAAGGAATAGTGCCGTCTGAGCGGATCTTAGGACGATAGTGGTTTGTTTGAGAGCGGGTGGTCATCTTATGAGTTGGAGGAGGATGAGAGATATGTGGTTGTTCTGAGGAGTTGTCAACGGGAATTGAATATTGATTTGATGCTAAAGGGGAGGAGGAGCTGCAAATGTCAGTGGTTGATGGGTTTGGTTGATGGGTTTGGATCAGGGGAGTGAGAAATTGGGGATAGTGAACTAGTGGGCTGAGGTGTAGAAATAATAGGTGGACTTGGTAAGAGAGGAGGGAGAGTGGAAGGGGGTAATGGGCTTGGAGTTGGGCTTGGAGTTGGGCTATGTGGTGGACTGGGTTGTGAAGGAATTGAGAGAGGTAAAAGTGTATTTTGAATTGGATGAGGAGGAGGAGTAGAATATGTTTGGGACAATGAATAAGGAAAATAATTTTCATCAAATTTGACGTCTCTAGAGATGTACATCCGAGACGACGGAACATGAAAGCATAAATAGCCGTGATGAGATGAGCTATAACCAAGAAAAATACATGGAAGGGAGCGAAAGTCCATTTTGTGTTTGTTATAAGGCCGAAGGTTAGGCCAACATTGACAGCCAAAATTTTTAAGGAAAAGGTAATTTGGTTTTTGGTGAAAGAGAATTTCGTATGGTGAGAGGTGATTTAATATAGGAGAAGGTAGTCGGTTGATTAGATATACGGCTGTAAGAAAAGCATCGGACCAATATAAAAATGGTAACGATGCATGGGATAGAAGAGCAAGTCCCGTTTCAACAATGTGTCTATGTTTACGTTCCACCGAACCATTTTTGAGAGTGAGCATATGGACAGGAAATACGATGATTAATGCCAAGGGAACGTAAAACCGTATTTAAGGAACGAAATTCTCCACCCCAATCGGTTTGCAAAGAACGGATGGTAAATCCCAAAATTTTTTCGACATTCTTTTTGAAAGAGAGAAAGGTATTAACTACCTCCGATTTACATTTTAAAGGAAAGATCCAACTAAAACGGCTAAAATCATCAACAAATGAAAGATAATATTTATAACCCCCACGAGATATATGTGGTGAAGGCCCCCAAACATCTGCAAAAACTAATTGAAGAGGGATAGTGGAGTGATGTGGAGATGTGGAATACGGGAGTTGATGAGCTTTAGCTTGACAACAGGCAGAACACAATTGTGATGAAGTGTTTGAACTTGTGGATGGAAGAGAGTGGTTGGAGATAATCTTTTGTACTAACTGTAAAGATGGATGGCCAAGTCTGGAATGCCACAAAGATGGAGAGGCACAAACACTGAGATGAGCTTGAGGAGAAGGAGGGGGGAACACGTACATGCCATCTTTAGTAGAGCCTTGGAGCAGGGTGTGTCGGGTTTGAGAATCCTTCACAAGGAAAGAAGAAGCATGAAACTCAAAAAATACAAGATTATCTTCACAAAATTGCCTCACAGATATTAAATTCTTGGAGATAGAAGGAACATAATAAAGTTTAGAGAGAAGAAAATTGCCAGTGGAGGAAGAGATGTTGGAGCTGCCAACATGGTGGATAGGAAGGCCAGAACCATCACCGATGCGAACTTGGTCACTGCCCTTGTATTCCGACGGATTAATGGAGAGATTACTAAAATCATTTGTGAAATGATGGCTGGCGGCTGTGTCCGGAAACCAAGAAGGATCGGCTGCGGCTGCAGTGTAGTGAGCAGAGAGTGCCGGCGGCGGTGGTGGCTGATAATTAAAATCATATCGGTGATAACAAGTAGCCGCCGAGTGGCCGGGTTTGAGACAGACCTGACAAGTAGGACGATCGGAGGTAAACTGAGCGGGCGTAATGAAATTAGATCGTCCACCACGATTCCGACCGCCACGACCACGAGGGGTATGACGACCCCTGTGAAAACCTCGACCCCGCTGAAATTGAGGGGACTGCCGAATGGAGTTATTGGCCGAGAACTCCGTATTGGCGGTGAGATTTCTGATTTGGTGAGATATGCGGGATTCATGATTGAGCAGATGGGCATATACTTGGGCGGGAGACAGAGAATCAGCTCGGGTGGTGATGGAGGTGACGATTGAATCATAGTCCTGACCCAAACCAGCCAAAAGAAAAACAACAAACTCAGATGGGGATATGACTTTACCGGCCATGGCTAAGGAGTCCATTAAGAGTTTCGCTCGGCGATAGTAAACAGAAATAGAGTCAGACCCCTTTTTGAGGGTAGAAAGTTGAAACAATGTTTGCATAATATTGGCCTGAGATGATGCTGCAAACAGAGTTTCAAGAATAGTCCAAACCTCTCTAGAGGTAGTGGCATCAAGAATATGAGCAATGACGGATTCAGAAAGTGAAGAGATTAGAATACTCATCACAGATTGATCTTGTTGCAACCAAATGGAGTAATCGGGGTTAGGGTTAGAATCGGGATCTAAGATTGGGGGTGGATGAATAGTTCCATCAACAAAGCGAAAAAGATTATGACCTTTAAGATAAGGCAGGAGTTGTGCTCGCCATAAGAGATAGTTGTCATCAGATAATTTTATAGAGACAAGAGATGAAGAAGACGGAAGAGATGGTGGTGCAGGGGTGGAGGAAGGAAGAGGTAGGATCGGATTTGCTCCGGTGGTGGTGTTGGCAGCCATGGAAAAAAGGGCAGAAGAAAGGAAAAAAAAAATATTAGCTGGACGTTTGTCCTATACTGGCTCTGATTACCATATTGAGATATGAGAGAGAAAGTGAAACATAGAAAGTAAAGAGGAATTGATTCACAATTGTTTTCATTGATTTCAAGGTTCACTGTACAATATCATATATAGAGAGGAAAATAAATTAAATTGTTTTTCAAAATTACAGCTCAACCATTTAGGAAGGAACACCTGTCTTATTCTAGATTATTCTTCAGATGATTTGTTTCGTGCTCTCCAAGTGTGTAAGAGGAATTATCTCCTGTGTGAGGTGTATGGTTAACACTCTTCAACCGATGCACAACCACCACCAATCAAACACGTGGAAGACGATGATAACGAAAATCGGAGCATCTCCAATCGGGTTTGGGTCGAGACGAAGAAGCTGTGGCGGGTCGTGGGCCCCGCCATCTTCAGCCGGGTCGCTACGTACGCCATGTTCGTCATCACACAGGCCTTCGCCGGCCACCTCGGCGACCTCGAGCTCGCCGCGATGTCCATCGCCATCACCGTCATCATGGGCTTCGATTTCGGCCTCATGGTAAACAAAATTAATTTTATATCTGAATCGATTCCGATTTCGATTTCGATTTCGATTTTTTGATTTTGATTTGTCAGTTGGGAATGGCGAGTGCGTTGGAGACGCTGTGCGGGCAGGCGTACGGCGCGAAGAAGTACAGCATGCTGGGGGTTTACCTGCAGCGTTCGTGGCTGGTTCTCTCTCTGTGCTGCGTGGTGACGCTGCCGGTGCTGCTCTTCGCCGGACCGATTCTGGAGGCGCTGGGACAGCCGGCGGACGTGGCGGAGATGTCCGGTGTGGTGGCGCTGTGCTTCGTGCCGCTCCACTTCAGCTTCGCGATTCAGTTCCCAATTCAGAGGTTTCTGCAGAGCCAGCTGAAGAACAGTGTGATTGCTTGGATGAATTTGGGGGCGCTTGGGGTGCACGTGCTGCTGAGCTGGCTTGTTGTTTACAGGCTGCGACTGGGGGTTATTGGTACCGCCCTCACTCTGAATATCTCGTGGTGGGTGGTGGTTTTGGGGCTGTTCTTATACACCGTCTGCGGCGGTTGCCCGCTGACGTGGACTGGCTTCTCCACCGAGGCGTTCTCCGGTTTGTGGGAGTTTCTCAAGCTTTCTGCTTCTTCTGGTGTCATGCTGTGGTACTCTCTCTCTCTCTCTCTCTCTCTCTCTCTCTCACACACACTCTCTCTCTCTCACTCACACACACACTTTTCAAATATTCCAATAATAAATTAATAATTAATCTAAACTCAAAAGACTTGACGAACAGTTATATATACTAACCTTAATGTTAGTCCCTTAATGTTAGTCCAATTTCAAAATTATAATTGAATTTGTATAAAATTGGATTTACTTTTAATGAAATTATATAATTTGTGAAATCAAATCCTTATTTTTTTCTACAAATTTAAAAAAAAAATATATATATATATATATATATATATATATATACCACGTTGATTGTACTTGCTAATAAAGGTAGGGAGCAATCATATTTAATTTCAATAAGTAAATCTAACTACCAATAAGAGTCAGGGTTGTATCGGTCATGTCTCGAACCGTCGCGCTCATACAAGGGTCGGAGCATTCATGGCTCGATGTATATATGTACCAAACTACGTACCTGGAACTAATTACAATTCCGAACCAAATTTTGGTTCGCTATAATTCAATACAAATATAATTTTACGTACCAAATGAATCGAACCCTCCTATACAACTAATTAGTTTGAATTAATTAAGTAATTTCTTTTTTTAGAAAAATATGACTCTAATTTTCATACTTTTTTTTTAATTGTGACCAGCTTGGAGAATTGGTACTACAGAATTCTTATAGTGATGACCGGAAATCTGAGCAACGCCGAAATCGCAGTCGATGCTTTGTCCGTTTGGTATGCAAATTTAAGTCTTCATTTTCAGTCATTTTAAATAACTTTTTTTTTCGTCTTTCCATTTTGCATCGATTGGTCCCTCGTAAATTTTCTATCTTGTCTTGAACTAAAAGTCGTGTTTATAATACGCACGCAAATATGGCTTTTTTTTTTTTTTTTTAATCTACCTTCTATAACATGCATTTTTTCTACATATTTTATTTGTTTGTTTAATGTAATTTAACCAAGTTGAGATTTGATTTGACAAACGCATCTTGAATCGAGTATCTAGCAGTTTGTTTTAATTTTCGTCACTAGAAAACAAAGTCACGATTTTAATATGAATTTGTGTCATTTCATGTGACGTGGCATTTCTATATATGTATGGAATTTTCTTTGTGTGTGTGGCAATAAATTCTTATCATTACATTACAACATTACACGACGGTCATTTTCATTGTTTTGCTATCGGAATTCTCTTCTTCTTCTTTATGGACATTTTCTTTTTGTAAATATATATTTTAATAAAATAAAATAAAATAATATTGTGTTTTAACTTTATCTATTTGGTGCTTTGTGTATAAATGCAGCATGAGCATCAACGGTTGGGAAATGATGATTCCTCTTGCATTTTTCGCTGGAACTGGGTAAATATAATATAGTATAATATAATATATCGCTTATTATTTATTTATTTATTTTGTTATTTTATACTTGTGATATAGTAATATATTCTTTTTATCGTTATTAGTGCACAAAGTCGAAATTGGGAAAGAGTAGACTACGTAAAAATCGTCGAGAAAATTTACAATAAATTTGGGGTAATTAGATACCACACGTGAATTCATGTATTAAAAGAATTTGTGAAATATTGAGGGGCCATGGCCCCCGGGCCTATGCTGGTGACAACTGACAATCATATAGATGGTCCTTAGTTTACTATACAGATGTCGATAGTTGATGCATGCAAAATTGAGGTCCACACAAATGGATTTTTGAAGTTTTTGTTTTCTTTTTTGAGAGGGCATGTATATATATATGAAGTTAATATGTATGTATATGTGTATGAGTATAAGTTTGAAGGGTAATTTGGTAATAATGTTGTGGTTGCATGTACGACGAAAACGAAAAGAGTGAGGGTGGCGAATGAACTTGGAGCAGGGAATGCAAAAGGAGCAAAGTTTGCAACAATAGTATCTGTGATTGAATCAGTGATAGTGGGATTAGTGTTTTGGGTACTAATAATGCTATTCCACAATGAATTAGCCCTAATTTACACATCAAGTGAAGTTGTTCTAGAAGCAGTTAGCCACCTCTCTCTTCTCTTGGCTTTCACTATCCTCCTCAACAGTGTTCAACTGATTCTTTCAGGTATTTTTTTCATTCTCTCTCTCTCTCTCTCTCTCTCTCTCTCTCTCTCTCTCTCTCTCTCTCTCTCTCACACACACACACACACACCTAATTATTAACCAAGCTTTTGATTAAGAGGGTCATTCAACATAGATGAAATGAGGTGTGAATAGGGGTGTGAGCTGGACTGATCGGAATTAGCATTTTCAGAAAAGAAAAAAAAAAAGGCCATTTTTTTGGAAAGTGAAAAAATAATTCTAATTAGATTCCAAAAAATCAAAAAATTAGGAAATCAGTTAAATGAAAACAAATTTTCTAAAATGGAAATTTTCGGATCAACATTGTCGGAATACATAATTTTTAAATTTTAAATCACCTGTAAGAAAAAAAAAAAAAAAAAAAAAAAACACATTAAGTATTCATATTCGTAAGTGTATTTTTCGGAAAAGAAGCATTGGGATTTTCATAAATACTTTCGAAAATTAAAATTGGATCAGAAATAGGAATCTAAAATATAACCCAATTCCCTTGCAAAAAAACAATAAATCATAATGAAATTTTGTGTTCCATAATCGGAAACATTCAGATCGCAGTGGGCAAAATCCCGAAAATTTTGTTCCAACTTCAACCTCATGTGAGGGATACCGGCCTTATATACTCATATACTGGTTCCACCGATGAAATTAAGATTTTCTATATCCTTATATTTTCTCCCCACTAGTAAGTTTGACAAGTGAATTCATTTTCATCAAAATAAATAACTAAATTTGTATCATCCCCCCCACCACCAATCTGTTTTATTTTTATTCTTATTTTATTTAAGGTGTGGCTGTTGGTTCGGGATGGCAGTCATACGTGGCATACATTAACCTTGGTTGCTACTATTTGGTTGGACTCCCACTTGGAGTTCTCATGGGATGGGTTTTCGATCAAGGAGTTATGGTATGATT